GTACAGAAAAAAAGTGTAATTTCTGACCTTGTCATACTAGCACTCTAGGAGGCAGAGGCGGGAGAATTGCTTAAGGTCAGGAGCCTGCACAAGAGGGAGATGTCACTACAAAAAATATTACAATAGCCTCAGGCCAAAAGGAGTTTGAGGTTGCAGTCTGCTATGACAAAGCCACTGCTCTCTAGCTGGGGTGGGAAAACAAGGATAACTTCTACTCTTTTCAGAGCTTCTCCTGTGTTTACTGTTTCTTGAAATAATCCTTACACAAAAGGATTATGCAAAAGAGGTATATTTTGGGGTGGCATGTCCTGGTCTGCTACAGTTTCAAGATGGCCTCACTAACAGGTCTGTCCATTGGCACTGGCTGGCTACCGGGGCCCCTCAATTCTTTTGCAGATGCCCTCTTACCTGTTAGGCAGGAGTGGCTTCTTCATACAATGGTGGAAGTGTTACAAAAAAGCAAACTCCAGCATGGAAGGGCTTATTAGGCCTCTGCTTGCTATCACATTGCTGACAGCCCATTGGCTAAAGCAAATTGCCTGGCCAAGGCCAGCATTGACATGAGAGGGGGCTGCCCAAAGGCACAGCTACTCAGAGGTGACTCCCTTGAGGCCCATTAATGGAACAAACTGCCATAAGGATGCTAGGGGGAAAAAATCCTCATCCTTTTCTTCTTTGGGTAGTACAAATACTATAGTTAGAAAAGCAAATTCCAATAAGGGCGCTTACGTCTCTCATTAGACATTATAAGAGCCTTTTTAAAGGAAAGCACAACGATGAAGTAATTTTGGCACCCCCATTTAGTTTTAGGGTTTTTGTTGTTTAAGAGGCAAAATCTTGTCCCTCAAGCTGGAATGCAGTGGCACAATCATAGCTCATGATAACCTTGAATTTCTGGGCTCAAGGGGAACCTTCCGCCTCACAGCCTCCCCAGTAGCTGGGACTACAGGTGCATACCACCATGCCCTGATAATTTATATTTTTATTTTTTGTATAAATGGGGTCTCGCAAAGTTGCCCAGGCTGGTCTTGAACTCCTAGGCTCATGTGATCCTCTCACCTCAGCCTCTCAAAGTGCTGGGATTACAGGTGTCAGCCACTGTGCCTGATCTGTTTTTCTTTTCCTTTAATATTAAAAAAAATTCCCATTACTTTGGTACTTTGAATTTCAAGAGTAAATATGCAAAGGCCATCCTGCCACTTTTTCCATCTCTATAGCAGCTCTCCCTTTAGTCTGTTTCCTGCTATTTGAAAGGACTCTGGTTAAACAGGATATGCATATAGCCAGTTTCCTTTAGTAGGTCTACAATGCAGGTACCTCAATTGTGGTCCACATTCTGCTGAGAAGGTGCAAAGGGATGGACCCTGACTGATACAAGCGTAGGCTGAAGAACACTGGGGGAGCAGATATGTCTCAGGAAGTTCAAGCAGTCCCTGCCTAGGGCCTGGCAGGCATCTCTGTTCTAGCACGCCCAGAACCGAACTTGTGATAAACCATCAGCCTCCCCGCATCACACTGCTCTCCCAGTTTCTTCCTTTTGGTAAATGGAATCACTACCCATGTTGTTACTCAAGCCAGGGTCCTAGGAGTAATGCCCAATTCTTCCTCTCCCCCTCTCTCCCATCAACAAGAGCTGTCATTTTATCTCCAAAATGTATCTCAAAGTTCTTCCATCTCTCCCCATACACGTTGTCCCCACAAAGAACCTCCAGCCTGTCTTCCAGGTCTATTACAGTAGTTTCATAACTGCTCCTGCCTCCCTCTATGCTAGTCTCTTCCTCAAAATCCTTTTGCTGTTTCCCCCAAATTTGAATTTTAATCTAGATTCTTTACAGTGACCTAAAATCTCTGCCTGAATTTATTCAAGATTATCATGACAACCTGTGTATTCTTCAGTGGGACAGTATAGCCCCTAAGGAGGTGAAATTAGTTTTGGAGGGCAGGAAAGGGGGTAGAAAAAATCTCTTTCCAATATATAAAGAACAGTTAGACTGTATGTGATAGCTATAGAATTAAAGGTTTGTGGGGGAGTGATTAGAATAGACTGTAAATAAAGGTTGAGAAACTAACCTACCCCCAGCTCAGGTTCCTCTTCTCCGTATCTACTAGACCAGCACCACACAATATGGTAGCCCCTAGTGACATGCAGCTATTGAGAACTTGAAATGGACCTAGCACAAAAGGGAAGAAAAGTTTTAATATTAAGATTTTAATTTCAATAGCCACATATGGCTAGCGGTTACCATATTACACAGCAAAACTCCTGACACTGATGGGTCTCCTTTTCATTTTTGTACATGCTAACTGTATCTGTCAGGATATTTTTGCCATAAATTATAAAAATTCAGAGATTAAACATAAATCCAGATAAGAGAGAATCCGGGGATGGCTAATTCAGTAGTTCAATGCCCTTATCACAAATCCAGGTCCCTCCCATCTTCCTTCACTGCCATCCTTAGTGTTCCTATGCTACCCTCAGGCTCTTCCCCTAATCGTCACGAGATGGCTGCCACAGCGCCAGGCATCACATATAAACCTAAGGTGTAGAATGAGACTGCAGCTGCTGCTGCTTTTTCTTTTATATATGAGAAAAACTTCTCACATCTCAGGATCCAGAATTTTATATGTTTCAAGCTACATCAATCACTGCCAAGAAGAATGGGACTACTATAAGTGGCTCATACCCTACAAGAGCTGTTCCCTAAGCTGGCTATAGTTAGTGTTGATCCCCAAAACAGATTGTTGGGAGAGCTGATATCTGAACAAGTCAGGGCCCTGTAGGAAAGTGGAGACTTGCACATCTTGTGCTGGGAGGGAGAGTAAGAAAGGAGAGAATGTTACTTTCTTCTATTCTGGGTGGAACTACTCTGAAAAATTTGGGAATTTCCCTGTGCCAGTGGTGTTCAGAGTGTGATACCTGTACC